AAGTTTGCTTTGGTTTCGGCTTTCGTTGATTACATTTGAGATGCATGGCCAATGCAAATGGGTGGGGGGAGGAGAAAACGGAGGGGAAGCTGGCAACTTGGGATCCCAAAAACTGGAGAGCTGGGGAGCTGGGGAACCGGGAATCGGGAACAGGACGTGGATAACTTTGCATTGTGTCATTTGCATGCGGTTCTGTTGTATGCAAATTGCGAGTAATTGGTGTGAAACGTCTGCAATGAACGTGACCCCTGCTCAGCAGACACCCAGGCGTCCTGAGAGTCCTCGCAAAGGATTCCTCCTGCGAGGAGCCAAGCGATATGCATTCATTATTTATAAGCAAAATATCATAAAACTTAACAAGAGAACGAACAGCCAGCGGGTGGCCAAACTATTGGGGTTAGTGCCAGCATTTTGTCACGTGTCCTGAATGAAATCAGTTCATCTTGCCGGGCAACTTGTAAGTAAGTATGTAATTGTTACTGCAGCTGGGAAGATGGATTCTTGCTCGACAACAGCTGAAAGTGTAAGGGTGTTTCTAAATCTGAATCTGAATATGAATCTGCACTTGGCCCACGGGCCATGCTGAACTAATAAACTACATAGTTTACGCATTAAGTCCTGGCATGATTTCCTGGTAAACGCTCGAGAGCAAACCGCTGAGTGGCAAAAGGCAACTGAACTGTCGTTGTCCTAGTAATCGGATTTCAAAGGACACGAACCGCGAAACCCGAACCACAGAGAGGATTTCCAACGAGCGGAGAGAGAGAGAGAGCTTTCGCCTGTTCTAAACCAGCGAAGAGAACGTGAGTAGCAACCCCTAAGAGCTGCCCTTACGATATTCGCTGGCAAGGACACCAGGAGGAGTCCTTCCATATGCATGCATGTAAAATGTAAAACCAAAATTGTTATTTGAGCCGTCCGCTTGTTTAGGCTAAATGCGACTACTGAAACTGCAACAACAGCAACGACAGCCATGCTCAACACGACTGCGAATTGTTGAACAAGCCTTGCAATTTCCATTTAACCAGCCAAGTTTCGCATTAACCGAACGCTCGAGCTAATTGACTAGACAGCCAAACTGCAGTTGTTACAATTTAACGGTCTGCCTATTTGGGAGAAGCCCATTTTTTCCCCCGGCTAATTAGACGGGCAAACAGCAAAGGGGCGTGACGAACGGGCATATAAATTACGCCATCAACCCAATAAGTTTACACCTATCGAGGGTTCGTAATAGATTGCATCGCAAATTTGAGGTGCACGGCTGCCAATTCAAAAATGATTTATGCACACACGCACTCACCCCAAAAAGCCATCTCTGCGTATACGCATTATATATACAAGTATATGTTATTTTGAGAGCATTCAGCTTCAGCATCCATTCGAAATATCTGTGTGGCCCCCCCAAGTTAATTAATGTGCGGTCAGCATAGGTTTTTGTGGCTTCCAGCTGCTAGGCGCCAAGGAGCAGGCATTCAGCTCCTCCTGATATTTATGTTGCCTGGTGTTTTGCATTATTGTGGCCAAACATTGGGCCGTTGTTAAGGCGTCCGGAGAAGGAAATGTATGCGGCCAGTGCATATCATTTAATAAGAATTTTAATGCAGAGGCAGAATGCACATTGCATATTGCAGCAGGAAATTGAATTCCAGCCCCATTTCATGATGAATTTATGTTGTGTGGTTAAATTAAATAAGACATTAAGTGCTGCATTATGACCGAGCTGAGTGCATTCCGTTCCATCTGGTTGGGCTGGTAATCGGTGTGCTCGAGAATTAAGAGACATGCGGCTTGGTTAGTCCAAGCCAAATAACTTGCCAAGATCTGTTGCCACACCAGTCTCAGTCCTTCAGATTTAATTAGCATTCCGAGAAGCCAGGACGCCGGAGGACTTCTTCGTCTTCTTATGCCGCTCCCACTCACGTCCACCGCCAGGTAATTAACAATAACAACTACGACACTCCGGCGACACAAAGTCGCCAACCGAAAACATGACATAACACAAAGCCGCCAAGCTTATTTGCCTGGCAATGGTCAGCCGGTTGAATTAGCACTGGGTTCTTGGGCCCGGGTGGCTAATTAAAATGTATTGCTTTGTTGTTTGGTTTTGAATACAATACTGCGGGATGAATTAAGTCCTGCTTTTAAAGACTAACACCACCCCCTACCACAGATGAGTGGGCGATATGGTGTGGCAGCAACATCAACAGCATCATTATTCAAGGAGTAGACGTTTGGCAAAAGTTCGCTGGGAGCGCTAACGATCTGCCAATGTCGAGCTGTAGCTTCAGCTTCAGCTTCAGCTGAAACTGATGCGAAATCGAGCCGAACCGAACCGAACCGAACTGAGTTGAGCTGAGCTGCGACCATGCACCATTAACGATAACATCATCAAAGAAAATCCTTTACAACCATGTGTCACGTCAGAACGTAACCACCCACCCGCTGCCGCCCCACTCTCCCTTCGAAGGACACACACGCACACACACACATCGACACACACATGGTGGGAGAGGCGCAATAGAAGCCTACGCTTCCTGTCACAGGACAAAACGCACAGCAGCAAATTGGCAGCAACGACAGCAATTGCTACAAAAGGGACGACCATCCGAGTATGCCCGCATCCGAGTATCCCGATGAGTCCCCAGCATCCCCCAGTGTGCCCCACATACCCCACATACCCCACATCCCGGCATCCGAACATCCGAGCGTCCTTCGGCGCCGGAGACGCACGTCGCCAAAGCTCAACTGCACACACATCAAAAATAAACCATCAGGCAAAGGCTGGGAAAAACCGACAACAAAAAACGACGACATATCAACATTAGTCAATGTCGTGTAAGGGAGTACCCGTGTCTAGGCCACCCAATCCCCCAATCCCCCAATCTTGGCATCTCCACCCGCTGGATTCGGTAATCATCGAGAAGAGGGTATACTGCATTCGTGTGAATTTAGAAAAATAATACAACAAATATTAGATATTACGCTTAACCAATACACAAAACCATATCCCCCTCGGCTTTTCCGTTTCTGTGGCAGCGAACCTCATTTGTTAAGGGTATGTCATAGTCGTTTCATAAACTACACTCTTTTTTCTTTGTTTTTGTTCGGGTGGCTTGGGCTGTGCGGCTGTTTTGAATAATTGTGCCTCGCTCCGCTTGTGGATTTTGTAAAGTATGAAATATATGCGTGTCTTACTTAGAGCCGCGCCATGGGCCTAATGAAGTGCTCAGCCCCCAAAGGGCTGCACCGCCTGGCCCGCCCTTTGGGCCAATAATTAAAACGTGTCCGGCGGTTCCTCTCAGCTTACACGCCCCTGCCGTTCGTTTATCTATTTTTTGCCATTTTTTGCCCCTTTGCTGCCACACGAGGTGGCATCGAGGTGGCATCGTTATGGCCCTCCTGTTGTCTCCAATTCAAGCTGCCTGCTGGTGCGAATGGTTCGACTGGATGGAGATGGAGCTGCATTTGCACGAGCTTGTCATTTATCAGTGGCTCTGATGCGTCTGCTCTTGAATTTCAATGCAGCTTATACAATTGCACGACTTTGCATAAAAGCAAACGCCTGCCTGCCTGCCTGCCATCATCGAAACATTTTCAGCGCCCTGCTTATGTGTGTTCGAAGTGGCGATGTTTGCTAAGTCGTGGAAATTTTTGGAGCACGCAGCGCACTCTCGATTGGCAGGCAATGGATTGAAAGCTGGAGGAGTCACTTCTTCAATCCGCTGACTCTATATTGACTTGCACACTGTGGCGCTTTGCGGTATTGCGTGGTGCATACGAAATGCCTGCAAGACAATTCGCCAAAGGAAGCGTCAGTGGCAGAAAAGCCACGAAATGATGGAACAAAACATAAAAACAATTTTCACTTTCGGTTTGTCTTTGAGCGCATTTCAATTTTTCTCTTTTGAGCTCGTGGCATACCTCGATATAAGGTATTTCTTTTGAAACAGCTTGATTACCACTGCCTCGAGATAAAAACATAGAACAATATATTTCTAGCTCTTTTGTTTTGTTTTTTCCAAAGAATTACGCACCAAAAAAGTTGCATTGAAATTGGTGGTTTCTCTTGTTGTTACCGTTGTCCTAACTGTTTGCCTGCCACTTTTTGTTGCAGCTTTGTTAAGACATCACCCGTTCATTTCCCAACATGCAATTGCTTATTAAGGGATCTGCGGACCAAGCGGCGTATGCGTAACGTAGACAAGAGAATGTGACACGTAACAGGTGATTTGACCTAGCCAAGCAAAGGCAGACAATGGCACAAAAACTGATAACGATAACTTTATCCCAAGATCTTTTGACATGAGCAAACAAATAAGGAAGAAAGCACGCAACAGCCAAAGGAGCAAGGAATGGCAGTGGAATGGAATGGAAATTCAGAGGAAAAAAAACTTGGAAAAATACAAAGTGCTGTCATTCATTGTGTACAGCTATTTGCCAAGGCAAGGCAGTTCCACTGACATTCTCCTGTCCCCCACTTTCCTCCCACTTTTGTTTTCCTTGGCCGCCCGGCAAGGACATATGCGTGTGTGTGTGTGTGTATGTTGTGTTTGTGTTTGTGGATGTGTCCAAGTCCAAGTCTTTGTGCGTGTGACGTTTTATCTCTGTCACTAAATTGACACTTTAGTTAATGGATTTTGTGTGTGTGAGTGTGGCACTTTTGTGGCGCTTACTTTTTATCTGCGCTCCATGGATTTGGATTTCTGCCACTGTTGCTCCTTAACATATCAGACTCAGGAGCCAGCAAACACAAAAACAGGACACGCACTTGCCCGAAACGTTCGCTCGCCAAGTGTAAGTGTAAGTACTTTGAATAATAAGAATGCTCACTTTGATGGATGCGCAACAAATCTCTTTAGGTTTATCAGCGGAACGATGACAACGCTGCGGATGGGTAATATGTTGTGTACACCGCGCCAGAGGCGTCATGATTCCCATAACAATTGGGGGATTATTCACATGCTTTGTGTGAACGTTCAAAGCAAACGATTTACCACGACTTACGTGTCACACAGTGTGTAGAACACAGTGTGTATAAACGTTAGGAAAGTCTCTGTGCCTCGATTTCGGTCAAACAAAATGCCCCGTCGAGTACTGGAAACCTACAAATTTGAGCCAGCCAAGCACTCATGTCTTCGTGAGTCCTTTCACATACTTGCAAACTATCAAGCTATAAAAATAGTATAAACTTGTGTACCGCATGCAGGCAAGTCAAAATTGGATCCCAAAGGTAAATGCGGCGCTGCCATCAAGAAACAACCGAAGGAGCAACCTGTTGAGCAGAAGAACCCGCTGCACTTCCTCCAGCTGAAGAGCGATGAGGAGCTCGTCGTGCATTGGACTCGTGCTGGGGGAAGTACTTTTTCTCCCATCAAATTGCTGCCTCCTTGGTAGTAGTGTGTTTTGTGCATGAATTATCTGTTTGCCCAGCTTTCGCGCAATTCATGGTAGTATCAAGAAGAATATAGATCATATTGGCAAGTCCAAAAGTAAACAAAAGTATCGATTTTCAATTTTAGGGTATCTAGTCACTAATACAAAACGATTCGGATATTAAAAAAGTACAAATTATTTCAAACACTTGTATGAATAACATTTGCCCGGTTATTTGTTCAAGAGGGATGCCAATTTGATCTGGGCAAGTAATCACACTTAAGAACACATACACTACACTCACTGCTCGACCAGTAAGAGAGATTACTTGAACTATTTTGCGACTCTAAATTAGAAGACATGCCTTACAGTCCTCACTAGAACTAGTTGGGAACTATAGGGCTACAAGAAAATATTTTTCCTAAGCAAATATTAAAAGCGGCAATAACTATGAGTTCCGGCAGTAAGTTAAACATTCTTCAGGCTTTAATTAAGACAGTTTTAACTATTTTGTGCAAGTAACACATACACTACATACATACATACATACATACATGCATGCATGCATACATACATACATACATACATACATACATACATACATACATACATACATACATACATACATACATACATACATACATACATACATACATACATACATACATACATACATACATACATACATACATACATACATACATACATACATACATACATACATACATACATACATACATACATACATACATACATACATACATACATACATACATACACCAGTACATACACTACCCATACACTACACTCACTGCTCGACTGGTAAGAGAGATTACTTGAAATATTTTGTGACTCTAAATTAGAAGACATGTCTTAAAATATGTTTCCTAAACAAAAATGTATATTATTTGTACTCTGGCAATCGAGTACAAAGTACTCGTTAGTAAAAAGTAAAAACTCGAATTTTGGATTGCCTTAATATGATAACTATTTAATTACATCATATAAATAGTAATAGGTGAATAAATGTACATAATAATACCGAATTATTTTAATATTACTTTATTATAATAATTACTTTATACTAGAAAATATGTCGTTAGATTATTCAGCCTGCGACGTAGAAAATATATTTGATCTTAGTGATTCTTAGGTGCGCTGGTCCTGCCTCAAGAATTCAAGAAAATGCCTCAATTCAAGAAAATAATAGTCACGGGATCAATTTTTAAAGAATATTTAGCTCATATTACAACGAAATTGACCAAAACATTAATCAAATTCGTTTCTTAGATCAAAATTGATTTCGGACCGAAAATCGTCTTCTAGTGGCTGCATAGTGCAAAACCAATGTATGGCCGTTACGCATCTTATTCTAGTGTCTTTGGCTAAACTGTGGCGAGGAAATATAGAGAATAAATATAAAGAAATTCCTTTCCATGCTAATCAAAAACTTTTTCAAATTTCTCATAAACCTGCCCTTAAGTATAATGTTTTGATTGCTAAGCTGCTTTGGGGACTTTTGGTATGCTTATTCCATAGACATGATACCATAGAAAGCGAGGACACACCATTCGGCTTATTTTCGGTTTTTCGAGGGGCAAAACAAGGAAAAAGATTCCGCTTTAAGTAAAAAAAAAGCGAAATATTTAATGCCTTCGGCTTATGTGCGGGATTTCGATGCGACCTGGGCCGCGTGCGATAAATACACATGTGTATATCTGTCACACTGTGTCAAGTTTTAAATCGGCTTTCGGGTCGGCCAGCAGCTTCAATTTGACGCAATAATTTATATGTGATTTGGTCGCATTGCGGCGGCTTGTCAGGACGCAGTGGGTCCGGGGGCAGCTCGGCGGGGGATTTGTAAGTTCTGTTGACAAAATAAGCAAAATAATATATTACAAAAGTTGTGGCACGCGCTTCCACCGGGATTTGGTTAATCGAATATGCACACAGTGGGTTGGGATGCGGCTCAAACCGTTCCAATCACTTTTCCCAACCGACAACGACGCATCATCATCATTGTGCGCTGGTCCTTGACAGATTAATTGGCCAAGTGCTCGGGAAAGTTGAGGGGCTCCTTTGGCAGCATTAAATAAATATATGGGCATGTGCTTTATGCAGCACCCAGGTGTTCTCCAAACTGGCCAAAGCCGAAGTGGTAAACTTTCCTCTGAATGTGCCAGCACATGCAAGTTGCCGGTTGCCAGTTAACAGTTGCCCGCTGCAACTTGCAACATACCCATGCAACAGCCACCCACCACTTGGGCACTGGGCGCGAACTTGGCCCAGCAAACTTTTCCTGTTCGGTTGCGGATTGCTTTAAAGCGACTCTATTTATGCCACTGCCAGACTAACCACTCACACTTGAAAAAATATAGTTTCAACTTTAGGGAAAGCTGCTACCTTGTGGCCAAAGTAAAGGGGAAGTCCTGGACTTGACGTGGAACGTTCTCCAAACAGAAGTAATTAGAATATGGGTCGGATTTACATCAACCCCCTGATAACGATAAGCTCTATTAAAATATCTGCACAGATTTCTACTTAGTAGCGGTTATTTTTCCATTCAAATCATATTCAAAATCGAGCTAAATTTTGGACAGATTTTTTGGAGTGCAGAATGCTTCCTGAATACGAACCCTGGTGACCGGGTGCTCATTATGCCCATTGCCGAGGGTATCGCGCTAAGTGGCTCCTGCATTGGGAATGGAAACTAAATGAATGGCCGCTTGAAATGCCTTGAAGCCCAAAGGATTAAATGCTCGCTGCACACACAAAGGCGCCGGATTGTGCCACCGCATTGTGAAAACAACTCATTTATCATAAGCGTGCTGCAGTGGGGCTGATGGCATGATGGTGCTGATGGGGGGAGTGGCGCTCCTGGGGGGAGGGGGGAGGGGGTGTGGTAGCGGGGTTTCAAGAGCGGACTGGAGCTTACGACAAAAGTAACTGACAACTGCAGATGAAATGTTGAAAGCGCGAACTGAACACACAGCGCAACAATTAATTGTCTCCGCATTCATTTGCCCTTCGCCAAGATGCCAGATGCTATTCCATGCCAGAGGCGAGGGGTTAGTGGTGCTGACGCGATGGGGTCAAGGGGCAGGTGGGCGGTCACTTGGTCACGGGTGCGGCAAGTTGGTCCGCCCGGCACGCAATAATCGCCCGGCATTTGCCCTTAATTAATGGTTGAGCGCAAAGTAATAAACGATATTTAAACAGAAATTGCTTTGTTTTTTTGCTCTGCTTTTGTAATTGAAAGCAGACGGAATTCATATTTTATGTGGCTGTCATAAAACTTTAACAACTATTTTGCCAGTACAAATAACAAAAAACAAACTATAAAACAACAACGTTCCTTTTAATTAACTCAAAAGCTTGAGCATGCGATAAAGGCATTGGCCAATAATTACCTTCCTTTAATTAAAATATTTATTATTAAATTAGATAGGGGTCAGCAAAAAAGAACTCACCTGATCCAAGCGAAGATAATTCATTTTAATGACGACAGACGCCGACTCAGAGGTTCGTGCGTGTCAGGACAAAAGGCAAGAAAACTAGGAGCAAGGATGGGTCACCATGGGTGATGAGTTAAAATATATGAACAGTGTGGGAAATTGGGGCATACAATTAATAAATAAGAGCGTTGGTAAGCCATGAAACCATAGTATTTATATTGATTTTGAAATGAACTCCCTTCTATTGAAGGACACCCATATTATTTCCACACCCATCAATCAGCAGACAAGTGAACCCATCGCTTCATTTAATTCAGAATTCAGAATTCCAGCTCCTTTCGACTTGCCGCAACATGACCAATCACTTTCACCAGCCGCAGCGATCTAATTAATTTGTTGCAAAATAATTTATTAATTAGCATGTCAGTGTCAGAGATTTTCGGCCACGGCTTATCATTAAACAAAGGCGTAGTCGCGCAGCAGAAGGTGGGTGGCGGTGTGATTCTACCGAGAGGTAAATAGGCAATTAATCTGGCTCAACTGCGGACAGGTGTGTGCGCGAAAAAGCTGCATAGGAAAGCCAGGGAAAACTGGCCTGGCCGGGTTGCCATTGGCATGGCCATGTTTCTCTTTCGCCGGACATCGAAGAAGAAAGGATGGGCAAACTGCCGGAGCCAAGTGCGACACAGATGGAGGACAGGCAGCGGCAAATTGAACGAGCAATTATTTATTAATTTAACAGACACGCAATGCACATGGAGTTATCTCGATGCGATTCCTGACATCCGCTCCGATTGCCGGCAATTCGAGTTTTCGCAATTCGCAGCGCAGTCGAATGTCAGGCGAGGATGCGGATTCAGATGCAGATTCACAAGCAGTTTCACATGCAATTGCAGTTGCAATCGCAATCGCAGTCGCAGTCGCAGTGCAGTGCGTGTGTGCGGCCATTAAGCATTTATGATGTGCATGTCAGCGTCGGGATTCCTCATTCCTGATTCCTGATTCCAGCTTCTGGCAGGACTCGCAGAACTGATTTCCCACGGCGACCTTCCGTGCGCAGGACTTTCCGGCTGGGCGGCTTTAATTCAAGCAGCCAGGCTGGCTTAAGAATCATGAGACAATTAATCAATTGCCTTGATAAGTTGCCCTTAATTGGGCAGCTCTCGACGTATCAAGTGATTGCTGACAGCCATTCCTGGGCACATCCTCTTAGAAATGTTATTCAAAAGTAGCCTGCTTTTCGGAATTTAATATAAAACCAACGCTGTATTTCGGGGCTCAGCTTTTGGCTTTGGCCTCCTTTCTCACATCGCCTGAAGGGCTTGGCATTTTGGCTAGGTTTTAGCAAATTGCAGGGAGGCATTTGCCCCAAGCCGAATCCAACCGAAACCGAAATGAAAACTAAAACGTCGCATTTTGCACTCACATCTGCAGCACTGCATTCGAGTCTCTGGGTCAGCAATTTGCCAAGTTTCTGGCAAGTGAAAATGAAAGCCCTCGGTGTCTCTGTGTCTGTGAGTGTGTGTGGGGGCAGGAAGGATTTTGCAACGGAAGTGGGTAAATAGTGAAAGAAGGAAATGTACAAATAAATATTTGCAAATGAAAATGAACAAGGAAATGCAAGCGCCATGTGGCAGCGACAAGCGCTAAAACGTTTTCTATATGTGGCCT